AATAGGAAATGTGTCACACATCTTAGGAACTTACAGTCTGACTCAAAGACTGAAAAAGGGCAAAGAAGCTTCAAAAGTACAGAGTTCTCTCTCTCATATCATCGTATGACAGGGAAGGCTTGAGCTTTTGCTAGTACATGGTTATGTCCATCTAGGAAATTTTTTCAAGCAGCCATCAACATGCTTTTCCAAAAAGTGGTAACTAATTTCACAGTCCTGACAATTTCTCAGACTTGAAAACACTGGCTCATCAATGACTGCCTCTACCTAAATTTGCAAGCTTCTAAAGAGTAGCAGATGCAGGAGCTAACAATAGCAGCAATATTATAAAAATAACACATTTTGGAAATCCCTACACTGAATGAGCAGAAACTACAGAACAAGAAGAATAATGACCAAAGATTTAAAAGACTGAAGCAAAGAATCAGCTCACACTTAAGACATGTTTGAATTGGCCTGAAGTTATTGAAAAGAAAAAAAAAATCAAAAAATTGTAGAATGATGCTGATATATGGTGCTCCTCACAGAGCAAATTACAAAGAGTTTTGCTAGAGACTTTGGCAAGCACAAGTTTGACAAACCCTTTCAGTGCTGTATTCAGCAGTCAAAGCAATTTCTCTGCTTATTAAAAACAAGCATCTGCAGGCAATAATGCATAGTAATTCACAGTAAGTTTTACCAGTTTAGGGTAGGAGCTACAGAGACACAATATAAAAGGCTAAAAATGCTTCCATGAAGCTTTAAACCAGTGCAGAATTAGATGAAGTGCTCACCAGAGAGGGACTGTCACCTCACGGTGTTACCTTTCCCTTGCCTCTTTACAGACCACACATAAAAGCTGGAGGGTGCTCACAGGGAGCTGAGCTGACAGGGCTCCAGTTTAACAGGGTGATGTTTCAACAGTACATTTCCAAGTTAGCAACCTCGCCTCATCCAAGGCGTGCCAAAAGGCAAGGGGAGCAGGGGGTGAGGGGTGAAGGCAAGGGGAAATTAAAAGCCAGTCTACTTTCAGAAACATGCTTGCTGAGGTTATGTGGAAATTTCTGTAGCCAGCAATCTGTTCAAGAGTTTCCAAAAGTTTTCCAAGTCATTCAAAGCTGACTCGGTCATGCTATGCATACTTAATTCTACTTCAAACTGTGTCTTGCCCTTCCCTCAAATCAGGGGGACTGCCAGTAAATGCTGCTCTGAACAAAACCTTTGATCCAACCTTCCTCCTCTTATTGCACTGTTGTCTCCTTCCCAGTTCAAACTCTCATTTCAGCTTGGAAATGAATGCTCACTTGCAGGCTGAATGGAATCCGTATGGGCTGTATCTCAAACTCTAAAGGTGGTTTCAGTTTAGCCGCTTTTCTTAAATCTATGCTTGCTGATTAATCAGAAATTGCTCATAAGCCTTTTTCAAGAAGGACCTGGCACTCTACTTAAAAATCCCTGGATTAAGTCCAAGTAGTTTAGCTGTTTTTTAGGCTTCCCTATTCAATGCAGGGCATCAGACAGGTATTTTCAGAACTTGTTTCTCCACTTTGCTGGGTTTTGCAGTGTATAACTTCAGTCAAGATTCACTAGAAACAACAGCCTCTGGTTTTGTCACAGTTCTTTTTAAAGTGCTTAGAAAACTGGGGCTATAAAAACAGATTCCTTACACTCCATTCCAAATAGATTTCTGCAAATACTCCTGTAAGTACCAGGACATTCATTGTTCCAGAGGGACACAGATTTGCTACCAAAAACTATTCAGAATACCTGTGTTCTGAAACTGGATACTTGGAGTGGCTACCCCCCAGTGTGCACCCGTGCCTTCTCCTTTGGAGCCACAGAAAGACGACAGGATCTAGTTTTTGAGGTTCTTGTTTTCTAAGGGAGAAGAAAAAAGATAAAAATAAAAAAGGAGCAACATACTCAAGTAGCAGGGGTGGGCATGCCCAGGCCCAGTTCAAATCTCAGGCAAAGATTTGATCCCCCAACTGCACATACTCACAGATTGCAGATGTGAACATCTCTGGAACTGAGCCCCAGCCAGGGGAAGCTGCTTCAGCTCTCCAGACCGACTCTGAAAAGCTCCAAAAATAATGGTACTACTATTCTGAAGTGAGGTTACTTCCTTCAACATCTGTGGTGAATATGTGATACGGGCTGCTATAAGCATCACATGTATTTAAAACTAACAGGAGATGTCAAGGCTTGGTCCAGCCACATTGTGGTCATTAGGAGGAGGGAGCTACACAAACACTTCATGAGATACATATGCTGCTCTAGGGGTACTAAGGGTTAGCCTGTTCTGAGAAATCTCCCATCCTGTCCAGATTTTGGAGAAATAACAAAAAACCCCCACCAGACCCTTCCAAAGAATAAAGAGAGCACAAAATATCTTTCAGTGTAGTTCTCAATGATGAGATATTTACCTTCTGTTTAGCTGACAGCTTTTAAACGAACCTCTACCCTTGCCTACTGCACAAAGAAAAAAAAAAAATCAATAAAATATCTGACAACATTTATTACATTACTTCTAATGGCTCATTAATATAATGACACTTCCTTATTATGGAATAAGTTAGTACCATTGTCAAACCAGTGCTCTCTACAGACAGAATGTGTTCTCAGAAATTGTTCTTTTTTTAAAATAAAAATTAAGAATAGCAGTATTTTCAAGCAAAAAAGCCTACTTTTGTGAATCAACCAGAGGCATTATTATTGGTTTTTATTAACACATACAAAATTATTAGGGTATACAAATGTGTTTCTTTTTTTTTGACACAGTGAAAACTAAATAAATGGGCATTACATTTGTTTACATCACATTTTGTTTCAAAAACCAGTTAATGATTAAACAAAGAGGTTTATATATATATATGTATATATATACGTATAAAAAAAAGAGCTTGAAATAGCTGGATAACAAATAATTGATTTATACTATCAAAAGGCTGGGAGCAATTGTCTCCTGTGATTGTGCCCTTAGCTTTCAAACTATGACCCCCGCTGATATGAGTTTCTACTAAAAATCCAAAGAAAACAACAATGAAAAACCTCAGCAAAACAAACACCACTCTACTTGCCCCAAAAAAACCAAAACACCGATTCCCCCAGAACACAAAACCTCAAAGCAATGGCACAATGTTCTGCAGGCTAATATTTTTTCCTGACGGCTTCAAGCACAAATGGATTATTTTAAATATCACATAAACCTACAGTAAATTAAAAAAATAGAAGATTACTTTACACAACGCATGGAAACCATTTCTAGTGAGCACAAACATTTACAACTGTGTCATGTTTTTTTCCTTGCATAACCCATACTCACACACAAACCAGTTTTCAAAAGAATTGGTGAAATAATCAGTCCACATTTGTTTCTTTTATACAATATGAAATGGTTACAATACCATAGTATTTTTTAGAATAAGTTAAACATCAAGACATATGGCAATAGCATTGTACTATTCTTTCTACATACATATGAAATCCTGAATTTCAGTCTATTTTTATTCAGTCACAAAAATGAATAAAGACTAAGATCCAGTTATACTGGAAAACTAGGCTAGTTCTAGAAACCACAAATACTGTAAGCACTTTGGTATAATATGTACAGATTGTGCTGTCAATGTCATGCTTGCATACTAGAATTGATCAACAGATTTCCACTGGTGGAATAAAGTAAAAAAAGTACTGTAAAAGACTTCCTTTCTTATTTCTTTTCCTCTTTGCAAATGATTGAAAAAGGACACACCACAAGTACACACACAACATTTGTATGATGTGACTACAAATTAAATATTAAAGTGTTTTTAAATACAATGCAAGGCCTGTCTTCTTAAGTGCATAGAACGTAATGCAGAATACTGTTAATTACAGGGGCAACCTCAAAGACATGAAACATTTTAACAGATATTGAACAAAGTTCTCATTAAAAGAAAAGAGGTGTGAATGAGAATAAGCATTCTTCTATTGTTACAAAGATCAACACATGTTATCCCCCACTTGTAAGAAAAAATAACTGCTGCATCATAAAAGATGTATCTATCTACTGCATCCATTTTATCACTTTCTCTCAGAGGCTTAGAATTGCACCCTCAAACTCCTAAGAAGTTTGGATATTTCGTTGGGGATTTTTTTTTTCCTCTCCTATTTTTAATAAAACTTTTCTCTTTCTGAAAGTAGAACTCAAAAAGTGCATTTTTAAATTAAAGGGCTTACTTTCCCCCTTATTTTATGGATGCATTTGCAACAGTTTAGAAATTTTAGCTTAACCCATTCATTCTTTCTATCAGTACAATTTATCAGAATGTCTCAGATTTATTCAGGCCATTCTGCCAACAAGTTAAGCAGCCCCTTTTCCTGCAAAGCAAATGGTATTAAATTCTAAGAAATCCGAAATACTGTAATATTTACTGAAGTGAAATGCAAACTTAAAGAGTGAGGACTGCAGGATTTTCAGAATATTTAGACTTTATGCAGTTTTCCCAAATTTGTACTTTCTCCTTTGGATTTTGGGATATACTTAGGTACAAATATTCTGTTCCACTAACACTGCAAGTCCGCTTCAGACTAAGGTCTCAGGAATGAAATGGTAGCCTCAAAATTCTCAACCCAACCAGAGGAAACTCATCCCAATCATTACTCATTTCTTACACAACACAACAATCCATTTAACATGTAAACACAAGCAATGATGGTTCTCATTTGAAGCTCCTATTGTGGCAAGTAATACTTCACAGGTATCAGAAACACTTAAATTAATGTCCCTACTACCCCCATTTCTAAGATGCCTTCTTTTCCTTACAGAAGTTATAGCTGTTCAACATCAAACAATTGCACAAAAACTACAGCACCAAGCTTTGCTAACTGAAACTGCTGGAGAGCACACACAGGAGAAAAGAATTTGACTGTGGTTGTTGAGTGAGCTAGAAGTCAAATGAGCTTAAATAAAACTAAAGTTAACACATTCCTTAATTGAAATGATTAATTCTTAGCAGAAATAAATTAAGATCAGTCTGATCTTACTGTAAGCTAGTTGGTGACCCAGCCAGACTTTTGTGCAGATTGGGGTTTTGACTGTGCCTGTTCCGACTGCGAACAGATGAAAACATTGTGTTGCAACCCGGGATTTTGCATTTGTGGAGCTGGCGGAGATGCACAGTTTTGTAATGAGCCCTGAAAGTTCCTTTATTACTGTATGTTTTCTGACATATATGACAAGTTATTGGCAGACTGGAAGGCAAGTTTATAAAGTTTTGATTAGCTTTCTCAATTAGAGAACAGTCTTGGTAGAGTTCATCATTGGGCATTAGGCTGGGTCCTTCACAGCTTTCATCACTATCATCCAAGGGCATGGTGCATATCTCACTTCCTCCATCAGAATCCCAAGAAGAATGAGCACTGCTCTCAGATTTAACGCTGGAAGTAGTGCTTAGATCCAGAACAGCTCCATCATTTAATGGATCGTATCCATAACTCTCAGAACAGGGTTCTGCAATTTTGCTCATTGGAAAAATGTAGCTGCCTGCTCTGTTTACTCCTTTGAAGATTACAGAAGTACGTCCAATGTGTTGTTTTAAAGAGACATCTTGGCAAAACTCCTTAGCCATGTCTTTCAAGAGGTATGTTGCATTGAAATGGTTGTTGAATTCCAGTGTATCTTTAGTCAGAAGTTTATGATGAAGATTTAGGTTTGAACTATGTCTAGAAGAACAAAGAGAAGCTTAGCAAGAAAGTGTTTCACCTCACTTAGCAGTTGTTTCACAATAACTATAAACAAAAACATGGAAAATCATTATTTAGTAGCACGCATAAATTGTATACTTCAGATTTGACCAACTACCATACAGACTGCACATGGACAATTTACACATGTGACTGAGTTCTGAACTTGCTTGCACTGGCATATGTCAGATTCTATGTAATAACTCTACAGCAATCAATGTTTCAGATTCTCACTTGCTTTGGGGGTAGCTGTCTGCTCTGACAGATCCAGTGCTAACATAAAAGAAGTGGACGCAGACTAAAAACCTATAAACTGAACTGAGATCAGAGAATGGACTGAGGTAGGCAAGAAACCAGATTGTTTCCCAATGGACAAAGAAGGAAAAGATTGACACCTGAGCTGGAAAAAAATGTTGATGATCCCATGTACTCTAGCCATGCACAGGATGTAGCTGTACATATCAGTACAGAGACTTTTGTTGACAGGAGTTTCCTTGAAAAAGGAAAATTGAAATAGATGCAACTTGCTGTTTTCAAATGGGCACTTCCTGGTTCAGTTTGAAACCACTAAAACATACAGAGTCACTGTTCCTCACTGAACATTATTAATCTATCAGCTCACTGGGAACTTACAGGCTCTGTCTAGAAGGCTGAAGGTATTATTGTAATACTGGTAAAACATTTGTCATTCTCCTTGCCATCATGGTTTCAACAGAACCATGAATTGTTCAAAAAGGCACAGAAATATTTAGCAGTTGCAGTCATACTACTCTGTGTTAAAGTCTAGAAACTTGTGTAAAGTTGTTCCAAATACTATTGTTTTGTACAAAGCTTGTGAAATGACTTTGAGCTCGCTTGTCTTTTTTTTAACCCATCTTCCAAAAGCACCTATGTGAAAACTTATCTCAACATATTGGTGTGGGAAGGAATCCGTGGCATGTGAATGCAAATCTTACTGCTGGCCTTCTTCCCTGTGGCCCATATCGCAATTCCAGTGGAGAGGAATTCACATCTGGAAAGATGCAGGCAGCAGGGTATGAAGCCCTGCCAGCAGCTGATGAATCTGTGCATCTCAGATGCAGAGGCCAGTCCTCAGAGACCGGCTCATCCTCTCTCTGGATTGCATCAGCTGGCTCCAGCACTCCTAGCAGATTGCAGACAATCTAAACCTCGTGTCACTCTCAACTACTATCCAGGCATGCTTCCTCAGCCAAAAGCTGCTCTAACACCGCTGCACACTTGGAAAACTTGTAACACTTCAATAGGTTGGTTACCTATCACTGACCGCTTCAGATACATTTCTGATGGTCAGCAACAAAGCTTTGGCACTTGCTGCTCAGTTTATGTGCATAACAGGCTGAAATAAAATAATTACAGCAATACAGTACTGAAATGAGCATTAAACTGAACCAAGCTCATGCTTTAGTTTAGAAATTATTATTTAATCTCACAGAAAAGCACTACTGATGTGGATAAACACCAGATTGTGTTAGTTTGGCTACCACTGCATAAGGTTAATTTTGGGCTGACAAAGACTAATCTTGCTTTTCTTATGGGCTTTTTCTCACCAGTCTGTTCCAAATCCTTGAGTAAAGAAAGGACAAGAGCAAGTGAAGACTTCCTAAATTGATCTCATTGCTTTTTCTTCAAAAACACTGTATACATTAAAATATACATGAAAGTACATATTAAACATGTAAGTCCACACATGCATCTACTGGAAAATTGCTGAATTCATACCCTATGGCTTTCCCTTTATGTACTAAAGTATGCTTTCAACTACTGCAGTCTTTATCAGTTATGAAATTTTCATGGCTTTATTTAATATCTTGTAGTCTTGTGGAAAGGAAATGTTTCTTTCAATGCATTTTCATTTCAAGAACGTTCTGATAAGTTATCATACCTGTTATACGAGGATACACAGAAAATATTTGTAGGCTCCATTCCTCAAACACTCATTTTAATTTCAAATTAGGCTCCATTGTGATGGTAAAATAAATACAATTTTGTTTATAATTTTCTTACCTGTCTCGACTTCTACGAGAAGGGAAAGCAGCATTACAGCCCTCAACTGTGCAAATATGCATTTCTTTGAGATGTACATTTTTGAAATGCATTTTTACACTGTAAGGGTTTTTAAAAGTCTTCTTACAGATGTCACAATGAAAGCGGCTTTCGTCCTTCTGAATCCCTAGTGCATGTTGACTGACATGATCCATATCTTTAGAGTCTTCAAAACAAGGAATGGCAGCACCCCTGTTTGACAAAGTGCTGAAAAAGCCCCCAGTCAGCAAGTGGTGTTGCAATTCAGGGCAGTCATTTTTAGGAATCCTGTGCTGTGACTGCTCTTTAATATACATGGGGGGTTCAGTCATTGGTTTTATAACATCACTGTGGTGGTGTTTTGAATCTTCATACATAATTTCATGGGAAACTATTTTTAATGGTTGGTTTTCTTCTGGTTTAACCTCTTTCTCACAATGTTGCAATTCATTCTCAGAGATATCCTCGATGTATTTGTTATTTGGTGCAAAGACAGATTCAAAATACTTTGGGCCCTCTACCCCAGAGAGAGATTTCCATGAATTACCTGAATGGGGGTGCTTTTCCACCCTGTCGGTCACCCGCTTCTCTATCTTATGCTCACAGGTCTCAAGCTCTCCATCGCTTACCCCCTGCAGGCGTGACTCATCTTCAGAGCTGGCAACATCACTACTTTCATTGGGTGTCTCAACGGCTTCTTTCTCTATCTTAATGGGCATACTGGACTTACGAGACTTCTTCTTGGGGAGCATGTCAAATGGCAATTCATTGGAAACAAGCTGCTCTGGTATGGAGGAAGAAACAAGAGGCAGAGAAGGAAGAGTACCTGGAGTATTGGCAAGCTCGGCTGGTGTGACTGGGCTACGGTAAAACGGAAGAACAGGCTGTACTGTCTTCAGGTTTGGAAAGAGGACACCGTTGTGTCCAATACTGGAAAATCCAGCTTGGCCTTTTGAATCTGTACAAGAGCTGGCATAGCTGGAAATAGTTCTGCTATCCGGAGTTAAAATTGTGAATTCTGTCCTTTTACTGTCTCCAGGTCCAGCAATGGTCAAACCATTTCTCAGATCCTTATCCCTGTTATTTCTGTTCATTGGCATATGCAGTCTGGGGTTAGGATTCGCACTATGACGATTTCGACTACGCAAAGAGCTGAACACCATATTGCAGCCCTCAATGGTGCATTTGTGCTTTATCTTCAGATGAACAGCATTGTAATGTATTTTCAAAGTACCTTTATCATAAAATGTTTTTTCGCATGCAGTGCAGAAGACACGCCCTTTCCTTGGCCCAGCATTTTTTTCAACAGATTTCATTTTGTTTTCTGGAGATAGTGCTGCCATTTCAAGCTTGGCTGCTGTATTATGTGAACTGGAATCACTTAAAAGGGCATCATCTTCTGTTTTAGTGATATCTGGGCCATTTATGCTCCTCTCATTTTCAACTTGAAATGGTGCAGAACTAGAAGTTAAGAAACTGCTTTCAGAAAATGGTATCTGAAGATCTTGTTTGGTTTCGTTGCAATGCTCTTGACCTTGCTCAATCAAATGTCTTTCTGGCGGTGAACCTATCAAAGGTGGAGGCACTGGGCTGAAAAACTGAAACGGCAGCATGAAAGCCATGTTATTTACAAGATTCTCAAAAGGATGAATGTTGGTGGGACTCATTTTGTCCAAGGAAGCAGAAAAATTAGGACTGTGTGGGTTGCAGCTCTCAATGAATGCCCTAATATCCAAATTGGCAGTTGGTGGTGGTATTATGATCGACTGCCCTTCTTTCTCTTGAATTGCCATTAACTCTACAATGGACTTAGTTTCTCCAAAGCGAAGGAACTGCTGCAAAGTAGCCAGTTCTTCTTCAGTGGTCATTATGCTCCAGTGATCCAGCACCTTTCCTGAAGCATCCTAAAGCCAAAAAATATTTAAATGAGTTAGACGTTAGTTAAGGCAAACAAAAAACACTTCCCCTCAAATCTCTCATGCTTTTCAGGGACTAAAATTTATTCTCTAGCAAAAAATTAAAAACATTCAATTTAATGAGATTACTGGGAATTCTGTGATAATTTCTTCCAAATTTTATCACATTGGTGATATTACTTCTTCCTGAACTGACAGTAACACTTTTCCAATAAACTATTTTTTCTCACAAAAATTAAGACACGTTATTTGAACAACAGATAGTATCCTGTAAGCACAGACAGGAGAGATGGAGCAATCAGACCAAGATTTAGCTCCTCATTTAAGTCAAGTATTCTTTCATTGCAAGTTTAATAATCTTCCAAGCAACTAAGATCAGAGAACAAATGAACCTATATTGATCTATTGCCAGTTTTCACAGAGCACAGCTGTAATTACACTAGTGTTGGAGTTCTTTCAAACTCTAGCTATGCCTAACTTTTCCCAATAACTACAATAAATATTTTATCACAGAACATGTATTTGATGGCCTACTGAGATTTTTCACAGTGCATGTTAGAGTTTCTAAGATGATGAAGAACGTAACATTATAAATTTTTCATGTGATAGAGGTTCAAGGTAATTGATTCCATATTTTTAATCCTAACACTAAAAAGCAAGATTATCAAGACCATTAAATATTGATTCATGTCATAATGTAAGATCATAATGTTACTTTACATAAAAGGTAACTTCCACAGCAGCAAGGACTAACATCAGTGTAAGCACATAGGGCCAAATACACTCTGGCTGCTGCTCCAGTAAGGTCGATAGCACTACCAGAGATTAATATTGTCCCTGGTGTTTTAAATAATGGCAAGTTTATTTCTTGATGTATTATTCTGCTGTATAAAAGCAAACTCACTGTTTAAATAATACTGGAACAAGTTCTAAAAAGCCTTTACTTTGATACACTACCAGTAACTTTTGATTGTTATTTTTGCTTACCTTTGTTGTTAGATTTGAGCAAGTGGAAAGATTTCAATTAAGTCCAACTAAAAAAGAGACCAATCACCAGAAATCACCTTTCTTTTCTGGCATTAAGCTCGTACATGTCTACTACTGTCTTTCAGATGTGCCATATTGTTAACACATTGTGAACCACTGAGAAGATTAAGATGGAAAATTACTTAACTGTCATATTTCTATTGTAAAAGCACCTCTAAATACCTGTAGCACATATCCACGTATATAATCCTGCAGTGTCCAATCCAGAGCATGGAGAATCTGTATCACCTCTTCCTGCTTCAGAACACTGAAAAGCCGATCAAGCAGAATTTTAAGGCGCACAGGGATGGCTTGGGTTCCGTACAACATGAGGCTACTGATATCAAAGACAACATTGGATTGAACTATTTCTACTTGGCTTGATGGGTAGAGGTTTGGAATCCTTAGTTTGCTCAGGGCTGTAAATAAAAATCACAAAATGTAGATAAACTTGAGTCCCAAGAAAGAGAAAATGAAATGCAACTAATATTGGGGTGGGGGTTGAGAACTGACACAAAAAACATGCAATAGTTATGAGGATCCTAAGTGGTTTTCTATAGATTGTAAAAACAAATATTACCATGTGCTACCCATCCATGCCGGCATTGGTCACATTGTCGCTGATTTATTTTCCCAGGTTTGAAACACTGACAACTACAGTTCACGAGAGTGCACCGGATAGCCTGGAGATCAATGGAAAGCATGATAGGTAATATATGAGCACCATTCAGATTGTGCAGATTATACATCCACAGTACCTCTATAAAATCCACATGAAGACAGAATTAACATACCAACACAGACCTATCAACGTGCAATGTAAGTAATCCAGGCAAAGCCTGAGTTATACAAGTCACCAGCAGAAACACTGCAGTAAAATGAAAGCAGAATATTTAACAATATACATAGCAACACTTCTGTGGATTTATTTAGGCTGAAGCACCTTCATAACAATTATTGTTAAAAATTATGTATTCATCTAAGCTCTGATCCTTATGTATGATCACTTTCTCAGGAAGGTTTGAAAACAAAGCTGTACAGATGAAAGACCTCCTCTCACAGTTTTGCTGGCACTCCATACTGCAATATAGCAAGTTCTAATGAGCAGTGCATCAGCTCTGCACAGATGTCATGCCCTACACACCCAGAATTCAGATGGAATATTTCTATTCTGTCAATGACAAAGGAGTTTACTAATGCTCCTCAGTGACAAAGTTCACCAAAAAGTAGTCCAACTGTTCCAAGTCTAAACAATCACATTTTGAAAGCAAAAGAGAGCACACAGAACACCAGTTGCACTGTTCAATTAGTACATCACTTTACTCTTACCAAGGTCATCTATAATGCAAATCAAATTAGTATTCAGATGTCCCTAATCAATGGGGTGATACAAACTTGCTTCCTGGAATATATTATTTCTTCTGTTTGTGCCCATCTGCTGGAGAAGGCAAACAGACAACTTGGAGGTCCTAGTTAAAGCTCCAGAGGGATTTGCTACAGAGCAAAGCTTTGCAGGATTCTGCACTGCTTGGATCTGGCACTAAGAACAGTTCCTGCATAAACAGAATACTTATTGAGGGAGGGAAAGCAAAGAAATTGATGCGCAGATTATCTTCACTGGAATAATAAAGAAAGAGTTAGATCATACAATTGTAAAATGTTGGCATTTTTCCACTTTTAAATTAATGTTCCCTCTCCTAAGGTTTTATGCAAAATGGGGACTTCCACTCCTCAAAATACCTATAGGAAAATAAGATAAGATTTGAAGAAAAAAAGAAACATGGCATTCCCACACTGGCACTTCAGGAAACATACAAGGAAGCCTGATGGTCCAAAAACTTGCTATGAAAGATGGATGCAGGAAACATTTAAACTGAAAAGTACATGGCAGAATGTTAATTTCACTGAGATTTGAAATGGGCATTTCTTTAGACTTGCAGCCTCTGGCTGACTCGGGGCAGAAGAGGTCACTGCATACAAAACATATAAATAAGCATGTTCATGACATTTGGATGTCTGGTACTTCACAGTAATGGATTTGGAGAGAGATTTCAAAAATCTCAGTGTCTGTCTTATCCAGGAGTTGCCTTACATGCACATCTCCAAATTGCAGTGACTTGATGCTGAGGTTTGCCTCTATTTGAAGAATTGGAACAAGTGGCAACAGAGCTCTTGAAATCTCTGAATCACTTTGCCTTTAATCTTTTAAAGGAGCTGTTGCAAAATCCTGTGTTCTTGAGAAAAGCTCTTGCTCCCCATAAAGTCATAAAATACACATCAATATCCTATGCAGTATTGCTTCATTTTAATGGAGGATATATTTTCACTTAGATCCTAAAATACTTCCATATAACAATAAAAAGCCATAAATTTCTTATGGACAGGTTGGGGGAAGAAAAGGTGTAGTTGACTGTGGATTAATTTCTACCACAAGATATCAAACAATAACGCAGATTGAGTCTTCTGCCTCTCTGCATACATAATATTCTGTGACTTGCCTGGACTGATGTCTTTCCACAGGCAACCCTGCTAGGTTCAGTAAGGTGCAGTGCATTCCATAAATGCATCTTTTACATTCCCTTCAGACAAAATTACAAAAGAGTACTTCCTTTTTCTGCAAGAAGTAACAGAAATCTGCACAATGAAAAAAGCTGTCACGATGATAAGTTAATTGAGCTTTCAAAATTTTTTTCATTCCTTTTCCTTTGGACATGTTCCACAAATCACTGACCTTTAAAATTACTTTTTCTATTTAATTTGTGTACTTGGACAAGAAAGATACACCACACCAAATTTTGCATTTCATAGCTTTCTGTAAGAGTCGTCTTCTACATGGTACACGTATTTATTTTGCTTTCCTGTGTATGTGTAGAAGACTGCACATGCCAAAACAGGAACAAGTATAAAAAGAGGGCATTTTGTTTGACATATATGAAAGCAGCTGTTAAAAAGGGAGTAGAGTTCCCCCTCTATTCTAAATATTGAACTGAAGCTCTCTCAAGTCACATTATTGCTTCTGGAAACTAGAAGGAGTTAGCTTGCATCCTGGTGCATATCAAAGGTGCACCCTCGAATGGGGGATCTGTGCTGACTTAAAAAATTACTTGAAAGAATCCCTGAGAAGAAACAACTGATTTTTCAGGTTTTTAGCATTTCACTTCATTCGTGCTTGTCACAGTCTGTGTCTCCTAAGGCTTTTCTAGCAACATTTATAATCATATATATAGACAGAGAATATATAACAAAGCAAAATTAACTTCTGAAATAATCAGTGAATAACAATTTTAATTGTCACTGTTCAACTTCAAAAGGTATTTGTAAAATATGCACCTTGATTATCTCCCAAATTAACACATATCAGACTTTATTGAAAAGAAATTTAGCAATACTTCATGAAAACAATACCCTTGTCTTTCGCCCGTTAATCCTGTTGTCCTTAATAGCCTCTTCTAAGGTACTGTAATTATATCAAGGCTTTTAATAAGCTTTATTTTCCCAACAAGTGGAATGTACACACAATTTCATTCTGCAGAACAAAGAAATAACTTTCTGTATTGCATAGATGCAAAGCTTGAAAATTATAATTAAAGGATTGGAAATGTAGAAGGAAATTACAGTGGAAATTTTTTAAAGTGCAATCCTTTCATTCAAATAATTATTTATTTAATTCCATTTTCTAGAAACAGAAGGCATATGGTCTGAAAAACTAAATCTTATGCTATCATCAAGGATCTTGGTATTGCTTTGCAGTCACACTCTCCTTCACAAATGGATCTTTCCTAATCCATTATCAGACCTACTTTCTTAATTCATTTGAAAAATAGAGTTGAAAAGACTGATCAAAATGTTCTGTGGTTTTACCAGCATGACCGTGGGAATCTGAATGCTGAACTTTAAATAAAAATGATCCCTCATTACAAGACAGACATTAACCATTAAACTGGTCACTGAAAAGCATCTGACTACTAATCACTGCATCTTAACATGTGCTGCCTGAAAGTCACGCCTGCTCACATCCTTTTTTTGCCAGATATTGATGTGGCTTCAATTATGCTTCAAAAGTTACTGAATGTTTCTTTGCAACCCACTCACAGCCCTCAGAGCTGAGGAAAAGCCCAGGCTAATGGGACATACTCATGCTGATTCTGGGTATATAATCAGGCTTCATTTCACAAAGCAAGTTTGAGGAAGCCTCCTGGGACCTATGCTTACTTGCAACATACAACAGGTTTAAAAAAAAGCAGCAAGACAAGAAGGGCACGATAAGTGTATCCAATCTCATTCAGTGTTAAGAGGGTTCTGGTTTGATAGCACTTTGGCTTGGGAAATAAATTAAGAAGCAAGGAAACATTGAAGACCTTGTCAGGACTGAGTTGGAGATCTGGGCTCATGCTGCAGAGCTGCTCTGGGTCTCTGCATACAGCAAGGGCTGCAAGTGCAAACACCAGTAACACGAAGAGCAAGTCCCACATTACCCTGGTGCTATTTAACCACAGAAATGCACAGGTTAGCACCCTCACTTCTGGGACTTTCTGGCATCTAAGAAAAACCCTTGTCTTTTTGCACTAAGTTTCTCCCCACATTAAAAACTGCTGCTTTTTTTCAAGCTACTGCCATCACATGAAGAGCTTGAGAGCTTCCCTGCTACGAGGATTACTGACAAAATGGTGTCATTGATGCCAGGTTACAGGAATGCATCTTGCAGGCAGGGCTTAGAAATTTCTATCAGTTTAAAATGCAAGTTTGAAGAAGGAATAGGAGTTAAATGAAACAAATACATGAGAGAACCTTTCATTAGATGAGCTATAGCAGATACTGCTTTCATTGCCCTCTCTCGAGGGTTTCTAGCAACAAGCTGCATCTCCTATGGCCATCTCATCATCATCAGTGGTAATCCCACTGAATATATGTAACCCACCATGGTGTGTGCTCTGGTGGGCACTAATCTTATAGCAAAGAAGTGGGAAAAATCCCATATTTGCAGAATAGACCCATAGTGGCTCCACAGTAACAACGTTTGTGCAGAAAGGCATGATTTACAGTGGGGTAAGAAATAAAATTAAACATGGGACATATGTCTGGTTATTTGGAAGTATTTTCTTGCTTGTTCCTTGTAAAATATTTGCAAAGGAAGTAAAGGGATAGATACTTTTACCATCTCTTAAATTGAAAGTACAGCCACGCTACTTCAAAGGCCAAATCCAAATCTGTTTGCACCTTTCACAGAGAACAGTAACTATAAATGAGTGTGAAGTTGCCCTTCTGGTCCATACTTTCTTCTTCCTGGTTTTTATTATAATCTACCAGGTTACTTGTGTTTGCAGAGTTTAAATAAATTCCTCTTTCCTCACTGAGTTACACTTGATTACTATTGTGCTTGAATCCTTTGCACAGTCACTGAAAGCAGAGACAAATCAAA